ATGAGCATAGGTTAGTTAGTATAACTAAATCACGTTAACGTGTTTGCCTAAGAATCGCTTTTTAATGACTGAGTGCTCTTGTTAGCATTTTTATGTAGAAGAATTCTGTTTTGTGACGTACAGCGTTTCTGTGCCAAATCTGCAGAACATAACGTATCATTTGCGGATACTATGAGACAACTTTATTTTCAGGACGTTGAACCCATTTTGCGGTCGAAATCAGAGGTTGAAATCGTTGACATTATATTAAAACTGAAGGATGCACTGGTAAGTTTCTCTTTCTTTCCCCGTGATACTTGTTTTGTTTTGATAGACTTCACAATTTTGTCAGTAACGGAAGTTTATTTAGCAGTCCTGTATTCCCGTTCTCATTTTCTACAGAGCCAAATGTTTTTGCCTGAATTGTATTTAAATGTGATCACACATGCGAATTAGCAATTGTAACCGTTTATAGAGCTAGGTTGTTCAGACTGTCATTGTTTCTGTTTTCGTTTCATCGTTATATATGATGAACAGCGTTTGAAGAAGTACAACGGCCTCGATCTATTGTTTTACAATTAAAAATCATGTTTTGAATTAATATTAGTCCAAGTTTGCTGGCCTACCTCAACGACATATCTCTAGTTTCATTATTATGCTGACCACATATTTTATTTTGAGGTCAGTAATACCTTGTTTTCCATTGACCGTATTTCCATTGTTTCGCATTACACTGGTGATACCTTGTGTATTGCATTCACCGTTTGTAATACCTCGTTTCAGCAAGTGATTAAGTTTATTTCATCAAGGATCTCATTCCGTCATGTGATAATGTAGCTAACCACAGGCAACAGATGACTTGCATGGTGCAACGAAATCTGTCCATTCAGACAATAATCATTGCATACGTGATCTCACCAAATTTTTCTCCATTGTGTGATTTTTATTCCATGATAGTCACCCAACATTGTTAAGGTATTCCGTTAGTCTTACGAACCCGGATCACGGTTGTTATGCTGTTTTCACACCTTAAGGCAAAATAAACAAAGCAGCATATATATGAAGGGTGCTCAAATGAAACTCTCATGGCCCTCATTTCTGATGCTCTTCCATAGGGGAGGTGACTTTGTCCTTCAGGCCATGACGTAGGAAGCATAGATATGATAGCTTATTCGGTAGATAGCCTTACTCCAGATCGAAATGTCGCTGATTAGAATCCCTGCTC